TAAAATTATATATTATTATTTAATACCAAAAAATTATAAATTATCAAAATGCATAATTACTCCAAATTTAAGTTACATATGTAAAATCCTTTTCAAGTTTTTTTTTTGAAAACTTGATTTTTATAAATTTCAAGTTAATAATTTTCTTTTGTAACATCAAGAGGGATTAAATTCTTAACCTTTACTCATATCCCACCCCATCCTTGCCTCTTTAAGTTCATAAATTTTAAAAGTTAAAGCAAAAAAAAAAAAAAATTCTAAAACCAACAAGAGTTGGGTCTAATAGAAGAGGTTAGTTTCTCAAAACTTGGCAAATTAAAATTTGTATTCTCATTGAAAAAAATGCTCACATTTAGTGTTTGACTGTACCTTAAATATGGATGTTTCTTATTCATAGGAGGACACCTATGAGCAATTGAAAAAAAATACTTTTTTAAAAATTTACAGCCCAAAATCAATTTAATAAGAGATTATGCAAATTGTTCTTGATCATAAAAAAATTATAAATCAACTACCAAAAAAAAGATTTGTATTTAATATATTTTCCTAATCTAAATCGTACAAATTAGATATTTTTAATTTACATGACTACATATTTCTTATTCCGAGAGGGCAAAATTATTTTTATGTAGAAAAGTTTTTGATGAGCTAGATCTTAAGAGTTTAATAAGATTATGACACGCATTCGAGTAAAGTTGAAAATATGAGTTAGTCCAAATAACTTGTTCTAAATGTCAAGTTGAGCTAAAAAACTTAACCAAGATAAAAATAGATCTTTTCTTTCCCGAACTAGATAACCTATGAATTAAATAAGCTAATCATTAATGGGTTATGATTAGCCCACTTAACCCATTTTATTTATAAAAAAATTAAAATTTAAAAAATAAAAAACGGAGGGAGTTTTGGTATTACGACCATATAAGACAAGCATATTGTAAATGAATTGTGATAAAATTGTTCAATTTCTTGTATTTATGATGTGAATTTTTTCAATTGCATGGAATATACTATTAAAACTAATCATTTAGGCATATCTTTTTTAAAAATCATAAAAAATAAATAGATTGGTGGGTTGACTCATTTAACTCACCAATTCATAAGAGTTGGATTAGGCTAAATTTTTTTCAATCCATATGAAAATGAATTAAATCCAACCGAGCTCATATAGATCATGTTAGCCCATATTTAATTAAAAAAATATAATCAAACAATTAGTATATTCAATTTTTTATAATAGTAAATGCAATATTTTAAATTTTGAGTTCGCATCTCTTGAAAAAAAGAAGTCTATGGAATACCCTATCCGTTTTTGAATATAGAAAAAATTGACCAATTCACGTAGTTTAAAAAAGTTGTTTGAGTTTAATAGTTTGTTTGAAATTAAAAAAAAAATTAGACTAAATTATCTCTGCAATTAATAAAACAAATTTATCAAATGAAAATAAATATTAACTTTATGATGGACAATTTGAAAAAAATGTAATAAATGTTTTTTAAAATTTTGCAGTTTTACTAATAAATAAAAACAAAAAGACATATGGTAATTTCTCTTATAATTGAAAACAAAAAGAATAACTACTTTCACTTAGATGTAATATTTTTTTTTTGGTGAGAATAGACTTAACAGTAATTTTTTTAAAAAAATGTTTACCCACAACCTAAATTTTCCTATAAAAAATGAAGATACATACACGCCTGAACATGTTGATATTGGTTTCAAATCCATGATTTCTTTCAAGAGAATGGGTGATGTTGTCACTATGACAACACATAAATTTAATAATAAATAAATATGATACATTAGTGGTTATATAAAAAAATTATTTTAAAAAATTCATAAAAATTAATTTTTACGTTAAAGCCATTATCCTAGTAAATGTCAAATGTCACACTCTGTTTATTCTATCTTTTTCTTTTTCACAATACTCTCTCTATTGTACTCTCTTTGCTTCAAATTATATGATAATTTTGAAAAAAAATTTTTATCCTAAAATATAAAACAATTTAAGAAGAATAAAGTTTTATTAATTATATTTTTTTTAATATTACCCTTCAAATGGAGAGAGAATTCAAATATTACTATAGCATAATGATTAAGTGTGTAAGAGTATTTTTAAAAGTTTATAATTTTATTATGACAAACATACGTTTATAAAGTATTATTATTATGTGTAATTAATATTTATAATTTTATCTCAAATTAGATTTATAATTTGAGATTAAAGAGCATCCTACTCACATTGTCCAAAAAGTCGTTGTACAATTTTCACTTTGTCTTTGGCCAACACAATTTAAGTCCTTCATTTCTTTACCTGCCAATTGGACGTCGGTGCCATATGTCTGTTGGAATGCCTAACGTGCCTTGTCAAGTCACACAGCAAAGTCACCACTTTCATTGTTTCATTTTCTTAGCCTTGAAGGCTGAAGCAGTTGATTCCTTTCCTCGTCGATCGAAAACACGATGAGAAGCAACCAAACTACGCTTCACATTACAAACACCTTTAATACAAAATAGTAATTATATTTTTAAAATTATTTAAAAAAAGAAATAAAATTTAAAAACATTAATTATTAAATAGACTCCCTATTTTAAATAGTCCATATAATCCTATTTATAAGTCATTCTCAGCATATTTCATCAAAATTACAGAAAATATCAAACTTTATTAATTATGTTTTAAAATTTATGAAGTTTCTACCTTTATCCCTAAAAAAGACAAAAGAACTATTTTTAATAATTTTTTAATATTTAATTAGGGTAGAAAGGCAGTAAATATAAAAAGTTGTAAGTATTCCAAAATAACAAATTAACACTATTGATTTCAATTATGTTTATTATCCACACTATATTTATTACTATACCAAAATTCAAAAAACGTTGAATATTTTTGTACTTCAATGAGACTAGCTTAAGTCGCTAGAATGTGATGAAATATAATAAAGTATCAAATATTTAAACCTTCTTGATGTTAAAAAACAATAGAAGAATTCCACTTGCATTGATAATTGTGAATTTTTTTTATTGTTTACAAGCATCTTTTCATTGAAGTCAATCTTAATCTACTTGGATAATTATGGACAAGTAAGTAAATTTTAATAATAAAAGAAAGTCTTGTAAAAATTGTTTTAATCACTTATTAGTGATAACTCATAATAGTTTTATAATAATAAACAATTACAATTTTATAGAACATGATTAACTATTAACTAAAAAAAATATAATATGAAATATGTTATTAAGAGAAATTAATGAATGCTTTCAATTTACAAAATTTTGGTCTTGAAAATGATTTTTTTCTATAAAACAAAGCATAATTGTTTTTGTTTACTAAACATGATTTTTTTTTATGGGCTGGGGAAGAAGTTGTATTTTTTTCAGAAAATTAAATTACAAAATAACATCAATTTTTAATTTATTTTTATACTCTTCTAATATTTCACTAAATAATTAAAGTCTAAAGACATTGAATAACTCTTACTACTTTACTAACGAATAAGACATTAACTATTATAAGTTCCTCCATACATATAATTAATTTGGTTAGATGCAAATAAATTTGCATGCAAAAGGCTTAAAAATACTTATCCATGAGGTGCCTTAAAAAATGACTCATGTTATATTTTAGGAGATATTTGAGAACATTGAAATGAATTATAGTTCTCTTTATGTTATACCTTACTCTGATTATTTCTTTAAACTTTTGCATATGGTTTGTATTTCTTGATCAAAATTAATTATGAATATGTCATTCATATTTATCATTTGTTCAGTTGGTCCCAAATTAATGCAATATAGCTAAAGACCACACTCATTAAAACAAAAAAAACTAAATAGCATGTTAACATTGTTGATTTCAAATATAGAGCATGAACCAACAATGATGCTCTACAGTGTAATTTATCCTACAAGAAAGTAATTTTAAAGACCTACATAAATTAATATAATTAGATGATATTTCACCCTTGCATTGCACGGGGCGAAACAGTAGTTATAAGATAATTCTTGAAAAAAATAAAATTTTATTAATAATATTTTTTTAATAATACCCTTCAAATAGAGAGAAAATTTAAATGTTATTATAATATAATGAATGAGTGTACGAGGGTATTTTGAAAGTTTATAATTTTATTATGAAAAAATAAATTTATAAAGTATTATTATTATGTTTTATTAATATATATAATTTTATTTTAAATTAGATTTATAATTTGAGATTAAAGAGTATTCACATTGATCAAAAAGTCATTGAACAATTTTTACTTTGTTTTTGGCCAACGCAATTTAAGTCCTTCGTTTCTTTAACTGCCAATTGGACGTCGGTGCTATATGTCTGTTGGAATGCCTAACGTGCCTTGTCAAGTCACGCAGCATAGTCACCACTTTCATTGTTTCATTTTTCTTAGCCTTGAAGGCTGAAGCAGTTGGTTCCTTCCCTCGTCGATCGAAAACCACGATGAGAGCAACCAAACTACCCTTCATATTACAAACACCTTTAATACAAAATAGTAATTATATTTTAAAATTATTTAAAAAAAGAAATAAAATTTAAAAACATTAATTATTAAACAGACTCCCTACTTTAAATAGTCTATCTAATCCTATCTATAAATCATATATTTCATTAAAACAAAAAAAAATCTTAAATTTTATTAATTATGTTCTAAAATTTATTAAGTTTCTACCTCTACCCTTGATAAAAACAAAAAGAATTATTTTTTAATAATTTTTTTAACATTTAATTAGGGTAAAAAGGAAATAAATATAAAAAATATACTGGAGCGTCCTATAAATAGGATTAAAGTTAATCTTCTCTCTATCTTATAATTAAGATATGAGGAGTATATTAAAGAGAGAGAGTAAGCATGAAGTAGTTATTATTGTTCCTACCTTGTGCCATTCATTGACTTGTCTTCAACATCTTCGCATCCTTCATCTTTGTCATCTAAACTCTTCAATATGCCAAAAATCTTTCCTCTCCTTCATCTTCTCTTTCTTTAGAACCAAGAAACTAACAGTGGTCAAATGATGGGGAGAACTTGCAAGGGAAAGGGAAAGGGAAGTACTAGCTTGGTAGATATTGTGTTCTCTTGGACTTTTAGCGATGCTCTCAACGAAAATCTTTACAAAGACAAGGTTGTTCTATTCTTTCTTCTCTTTCATTTGCTGTGGAAAATGAAATTTTGTCCTCATGAGTGAGTGGGAGTGAAGATCCATTTAACAAGAAGCTCATGAAATGTTTCATGATCTTCTTGTTAAATTAAAGTACATGCAGGACATGAAACTGAACTTTCATGTTCGTCATATATGTCTCTCTCCTTCTCACATCTGATTCCTCTGGTCTGTTTTTTTTTTTTCCCCCTTCCTGCGTGCTTTCTCTGTTTCTTTTGGCTGTTTCTAGGATAATTTGTTGCTGTACTTGTTGTTACTTCTTGGAATGAATTTCAGCTTCTGGGCAATAAAATATATGGCTTTCATCTTTCATTTGTTTCATGATCTTTCTTTCTTTCATGTTCTCAGGTGCCAAAGATCCCATTATATTTTTTGTCAGCAACAGAATACATGAAATCCTTTATTCCTTCACTGATCGAGGAAACACACAGTGATCTTTGTTCCAGCTTGAAGGGCATTCATCAAGCCCCTTCCTGTGAAATCCTGACATGTAAGAGGATGAGTGAGGGCTTGCTCTATCAATTGACAATTGATAAGATTCATGATGGAAGGTATGGACCTGAATTTGGGGATCTTATCGCCCTCACAGATGAGAGGCCAAAAGGCATTGAAGACTTGAACAAACCCGGAAGACTTTATCATATTGCTTATGTTCAATGGTCAAAAGAGGGTCAGATCACAATACTCTCATCAAAGAGCATAGAGACTGAACAAGATGTAAGGAGCAACAATACACAAATGCTGTATGCCACCTATCTCATCAACTTGACAACCAACATTCGTATTTGGAAGGCCTTGAACTCACAACTGGAAGGTGCAAACTTGAATGTTATTGGAAAAATTCTTCAATCTGAAATATTGGTAAGAATCATGTGGCATTTAATATGTGAGAACCCTATTGTTGCAGGTATTTGGATTCATGTGAATATAATATATAGGAAATATATCGATATACAATAACTGAGACACATACAGCACATAACATAATATTTTCATATTTCCTATACTCATGTAAGATGTAAAAATCCTTTTCTACTAGATATGACCAAAATCAAATGTTATTTAATTAATTACGCTTCATTATGCCACTTGAGGTTATGATAAGAATGAAATTATGTTCATTATTATAGCTCACTCAAACACTGCATGAAGTAACTATACTGGATCTCCAGACAATAATAAAGAATCCTTGTTGAAGCTTTTACTATGCCTTATTTTACAGATTGGAAAGAGCAATCACATTTGCCCTTCAGTAGAGCACCCTAACACAGACATTTCTATCATAACAAGCATAATCAGATCTCAGAATCTGAATGAATGCCAGGAAAATGCTATATTAAGTAGTGTTGCAATGAGGAAATGTCATCACATGTACAATCACACTTTGAAACTAATATGGGGCCCTCCTGGAACTGGCAAAACAACGACAATAGCATCCATGCTATTTGTACTGCTCAAACTAAAAACCAGAATATTAACATGTGCTCCCACCAATGCTGCTGTTTTGGAAGTGGCAGCTCGCTTGCATAGTTTAGTTAAAGATCAACTTCAGTTTGATGCCTATGGGCTGGGTGACATAGTTCTTTTTGGGAATCGATCTCGAATGAAAGTTGATGATTATTGGGGCCTTCCTGATATCTTTCTTGATTATCGTGTTGATATGCTTGAGCATTGTCTTGATCCACTGACTGGTTGGAAGCATAACTTGGAATCAATGATCAGTTTGCTTGAGAACCCTCATGAGCAGTACCTTTTATCTAAGTTTGATGGGAAGTATGAGGAGGTTAATGATCTCATATCATTAGAAGAATTTACTAAGCTTCATTACAGCAGTATAGAGAAAGCATATCTCTCATACAAGCAGCTTGAAGATAAAGATGATCATATGACCATGGAGGAATTTGTGAGGGTAAGATATAATCATGTTACTAATCAATACCTTTCTTATAAAGATGAAGTTCAATGTATAAAGAGGAGGTTCAGACTCATCGGTGAGAATCTCAAGTCCTGCATGAAGACATTATACTCACAGTTACCAACTTCCCTTGTTCCATTTGAGGTGGCAAAGAACATGTGTAAAGCTATTGACTTGCTACAAAACCTGCAAAGTTGTTTGCATCGAAACGAGTTCATAGAATTTCCCATAAATAATGTAGAGGGAAAAAGAAGTAATTTCATTCAACCAGAACTTCCAAATGAGAAAAAGAGATGGTGTTTATTTCCCTTCTGTGCTGAGAAAATTCAAAGCTTTCTTGAGCCCATCCAACCTTGGCTTATGCTTACAGAAACACATATGCCAATAAAAGATGTTACCTTTAGCTTTGGAAGGCTGAGCTTGGAAAGAGATGAGTGCCTTAGGATTCTTAGATCACTTTCTTGGTCAATTTATCTTCCACAACTTAAAAACCGTCATGAAATAATAGACTTTTGCTTGAAGAAGGCATGCCTAATTTTTTGTACAGCATCAGGTTCCTCCAAATTGTTCACTAAAGGAATGACACCCGTGCCCTTTGTAGTTATTGATGAAGCAACTCAACTCAAAGAGTGTGAATCAACCATACCTTTACAACTTCCAGGTTCAAGACATGCTATTCTCATTGGTGATGAGAAGCAACTTCCTGCAATGGTTAAGAGCAAGGTAATAGAGTTGTCACTATGTTTTGTCAAAGGTTATAATGAAATGTTCATGGTTATTCACATTCAAATTGTTTATGGATGAGGTACCAATGCATATATGAAAAAGTGGTTTAAATTTGATATTTAGCTTAAGCTCTTGAATTGATTAGTTTTTGACATTTGTGTTTTGTGTTAGTGGAGATCACCAAAGATCACTTTCTAATTAATATGTATGTATATGACTATCAAATTTCAGATTTCTGATGAAGCTGGATTTGGAAGAAGCATGTTTGAGAGGCTGGTATTGTTAGGATTCGAGAAGCATCCCCTTAAAGTCCAGTATAGAATGCATCCATCTATAAGCTTGTTCCCCAACAGGGAATTCTATGAAGGGCTACTTGTGGATGGCGTGAATGTCAGAGTTTCAAGCTATAGTAAACGTTTCCTTGAAGGAAGAATGTATGGCTCCTATTCTTTCATAAACATAGCCAAGGGGAAAGAGCAATATGGTTTTGGACACAGCTTGAAGAATGTGGTAGAAGTTGCTGCTATATCAGAGATTATAAAATGCCTTCAAAAAGGTTCCTTTCTTGCTAATGAAAATTTTGTGTTTGTGTTGTCTCTCTGTTTCTTTTATTGTTAACTCTATCTATTGACACTTAGTAATTAGTTTGGCACTATCTAGTTGAGAGAAAGAATTTGAATATATCATAGATGACAAGCCTCTTGTGTTTTTTCTGCAACAGTGTTTCTCAGAAACAGAAGGAAAATCAGCATAGGAGTGATATCTCCATATAAAGCTCAAGTCTATGAAATCCAAGAGAAAGTTAATCAGTGCAATTTGGTGTCAGATGCTGATTTCTCTGTGAGAGTTCGTTCTATTGATGGCTTTCAAGGTGGTGAAGAAGATATTATAATCATCTCCACTGTCAGGTCTAATGAGTTTGGAAATGTGGGGTTCCTTTCTAATAGACAGAGAGCAAACGTGGCTCTAACTCGTGCCAGGTATGTTGTATCAAATTATTGTCGAATTAGGAATGCATTTGGTTTGTAAGTAGCCTAAGCCAATTTGATGGAACTTATCTTAAGGATTAATGAAGATTTTGATTTGGATTTGGATTTGAATTAAATCCTTAATTTGAAAATACAAAAGTTTATGAACTTGAATTTTCTTTAAATTCAAATCTATTTTAAATTATAATTTCTTTGAAATTTTAAATTTTCTCTATACCCTAATCATTTAAAATTTTAATCACTTCAAATATCTTGTTCTCTTTCTTGTTTTGACAATTAATGTTTATGTAACTCTTGTATCTTTTCTCATCTCTTATCTATTAAATAATATAAATAAACTTGTTATTTTTAATTTTTCACTTTTGTTTTGAATCTTAATTCATTTCTATTCTTTATTTAAAATTAAACTACTTAAACAAAAAATTTTAAATACATGTGGATTTCAAATGTGAGATTTGAAATGCAAGATTTCAAGTCCAAATTCAAGTCTATCAATCCAAACATTACCTAAAATTATATATACCTTCAATTCATTCTTTAGTTAATCAATATTGAACTTTTCCATACATTCTAATATTCCTCCAATTACTACTTATCATTTTTTATATCTTTGTCTTTCAATCATTCCTTTTTTTTTTTTTCCTTCTCTTTGCATGGGCTTGCACTTCTTTTCAATTTCTAGAATATTCATTTTTTTAATTCCTTGTATCTCTTCTCCATTCTTCACTCTCTTCTCTCTCTCTCTCTCTATATATATATATATATATATATATTTATTGCATCCTATATTGAATGACTTTTAATACCATATTAAATTTAAAAAGATGAAAATACAAAAAAAAAATTAGCAGCTGAAAATGTTAGAATGTATTGAAAAGTCTCACTTCCCACATTGATTGGATTGAAGGTAAATAATTTTAAAGTAAGTCCTATTAAAAATTAGCTCAGTCAATTTGATATGACTTACCTTAAAATTATATACTTTCAATTCATTTTTTTTAGTTAATCAATGTGAGACTTTTTAATACATTATAATAATTTATTGAGACCAAATAGGACATAATAGGCCAAGTCATTTATAAACACAAGGATGTTCATTTGAAACCACATCTTGAGTGACAAATTTTGTCACCTTGAAAGTTATCTTCCTCTACTTATGCCTGTTAATCTAACAATGAAACTCTCTCAACAGAAGCAAAAAAATCAAGGGTAGAAATATTTCACTGATCTTGAATTGATTAGAATTTGTGCTTTTTTGGTTCTTTTGTAGACATTGTCTTTGGATATTGGGGAATGCAGAAACTCTTGAACAAAGTCGCTCAGTTTGGACAAAGCTAGTAAATGATGCCAAGCAAAGAGATTGCTTTCATAATGCTGATGATGACCAGAACTTGGCTCGGGCCATTAAAGATGCCTTGCTTGAGCTTGAACTAGTTGACAAATCAAAGTCATCATTTAAGTCACTCAGAATAAGGGACTAGATAGAGAAGTCAAAAACAGGTGCTGCAAGTTCTAGGTAATTTCATCACATTGATCCTTAACGTTTTGGCTCAGAAATATCAATACATTAATTGTTGTTAATATCATTGAAAACTAAGGTTCATCCAATGACAGTTCGAGATGAAAGGAATGAAGGTTTTTTTATCTGACAATGTAAGTAAGCCAATTCAAGTATTAGCAAACTCAATTAGAGATTGATCTTTCAAAGACATTTTGTATTCACACAGACTCAAATAAAGACCTTGTACCTAAGTAATCATAACTCCTTCAATTAGAACCAACACCAAGTGTTAGTTAGCAAGGCATTAAAATGCAGTGTAGTTTGTGGCAATATTATTTATATGTTTCCATCTTAATCATCTATCGGTAATCATAATTATAATTACTTTCAAGTTGCCAAGTTTTTTTGTTATTCCTAAAATGACCATATCTTTTTTTTTTAGCCAACAACCATATAATCTCTCTGTGTGTGTAAACACATAGCTCTTAGTGGAATTAATGTGTTTTGTTTGTCACAATTTTGTGCCGCCATAAAAATTGAGATTACTGATTTGACCATAAGATAAAGATAATGGTTCATGTAAGCTTCGATTAAAAAATATAAAGCAGTTTTTCAGATTAGATATTCAAAACTATGAAACATTTTTAGTTTTGCAACACATAATTGATAATTTTTTTTTCAAAAATATTCTTAATAGATAAACAACTTAACACTTAATTTTTAAGTAAAATATCTTATTGTCAATTTAAAGACAATTAATTATTGTGAGTATAATTTGATTAAAAATATTTTATACTCCCTTCGTTAAAAAATGTAAGACATTTTTTGAAAAGTTAGATGTTAAAAATGTAAGGCATTTTTAGTCTTTCGAGGTATAATAATTGTCTTTTTTTCAAAAGTGCTCCTATTGATAATGACTTTATATTTATTATAAGATGTTTAGTAGGAGTAAATATAAAAAGATATTATTAGTTTGAAAGTAAGTAACTACTTTATTGCGGGTATAATTCAGTTAAAAATACCTTACATTTTTAAACGGAGTGAACATTTTTTAAAGGAGGAACTAAATTTGAAATTACCACCCTATGATTACATTAAATTTATTAGTCAACATTTAATCTTATATTGAAAAAATATGTATAGATTGATTCAGTTTGTTATTAATCAATAACATATCATAAAATTTGATTAAACTCAAATTATATTTTATATTAATAATAGAAGCAGATAAAGAATATTTTATATGGGTTAAATGATAATTTAAATCCTATGCTATAAATTTAGAAGCAATTTAAAATTTAAATTTTTAATCTATTTTAATTCTTAAAAAATTATACTCGTGGCAATTTGATCTCTGCCAACCTCAATTACTTTTGAGTGTGAGCCCCATGACTTTTCCTCCGCCCTCCTTCCTCTCTCAAATGAAACCACAGTGATTGGGTGACAACGGATTGATTTTAGCATTTGATCTAGTAGTGGGGAGCCACATACATGAAATAGGGACAAGTGTACCCTCCACGTGGAGAAAAGTATATATGGAATATATAAAATTTACAATCTTGTACCTGTATTTTTAAAATTTTAAACCCTCTCTACTTGATAAAAAATATCGTTGGTAAAAAAATACTTGATAAAAAATATTTGAGTTTAAAAACTTTTTAAATATATGATATTTTAACTCATACTTCATAAATTCAAACCAAAAAAAATGTAAACTTATTAAACATATTATTAAAAAGTTGGATCAAGAGAGCTATTTATTTTATAATGAAATCCAACCATTTGTTAATATGTCATCCTTTTGATAATAATTTTTTTTTCTTTCAAACCTAAGCTTTATATTAACCTTCACAACACATTTTTTTCTTGAGAAAGTTCTCAATATATTTTTCCCAAATGAAAATATGCATAATTTTATTCATATTATTATATTTTTTGCCTAATGTAATTATTTTTAAAATTATTATATTATTTTTAAAATTTTGTCGTCTCACATCCTGATGTCAGGTCCTAGCTCTATCACTGATCTGATCTGCATGATGCTGAAAGCCTGTGAGAACCACCTCTGGTTCTCTTCAATGCATGTAGGTGCCGAGACTCATCAGGATATGGCTCTCTTTAAATATTCTAGGGCATATTCTACAGACCCTTCTTCTACTTTCCTGTCTTCTGCTCTGTTCCTTTTCTCACTCTAGTTTGTTAATTTCTCAATCATGCACACCTGGCATTTTATTCGTCTTAGCCTTTGAGCTTCCATGAAGCTCCAACTTAACTACATTATTTTAATCTTGGGCAATATCTGATTTTTGTTGCTAACTCTTGCGTATGAACATTCTACAATTGGTTAGACAATTGACAGTAATTACTTGAGAAGACTTGTTAGAATGTACGAATGTCCCCATGTGTTATTCTGCTATAAAGTTTCTCAGCAGCAGAAGGAAAGTCAGCATAGGAGTTATATCTCCATATGCTGCTCAGGTCTGTGAAATCCAAGAGAAAGTGAAGGAAAACAATTTGGTTTCAGATGGTGACTTCTCTGTGAGTGTTCATTCTATTGATGGCTTCAAGGTAGTGAAGAAGATATCATAATGATCTCCACTGTCAGGTCTAATAGGTTTGGAAATGTGGGGTTTCTTTCTAATAAACAAAGAGCAAATGTGGCTCTTAGTCGTGCTAGGTATGTTACTTATTGGGACCAAAATCAGATATATGTTCAAGAATTAAAAACTTGATCTTAAGAGGGATTGAGACTTTCTAACCTTTGAAGTTATCTCAATTTGGATCCAGTGACTGGCACAAATTCATTCACTCAATAAGTGTCCCAGCATTTAACAATAATTACAATTGTTTGATGCAATCAAATGACTATCATAGATTGTTATATGATATTTAGAAAACACTAAAACTCAAATTTTTGAAAGGGACAACATATGTGAGGAGTGTTTTGATTGTGAGGATTATCTTAAATTTTTAAGGAAAATATATTTTAATAATTTTAAAGTATTGTAAGTACATAAATGTGAGTTGATTAGAGCTTTTTTTTTTTTTTTTTGTAAGCATTGTCTCCAGATATTAGGAAATGCAAAAACTCTAAAGCATAGTCGCTTTGTTTGGAAAAAGCTGGTAAATGATGACAAGAACTTGTCTCAAGCCATTAAAGGATGCTTTACTTGAGCTTGAACTAATTGATGAATCAAAATCACTATTTAAGTCACTTAGTCTAAAGGACAAGACTGAAGTTGGAAACAGGTACTTCAAGATTTAGGTAATATAATTCACATTGATCCATAGCTTTTCCCTGAAGAACTTTGAAACACAAACGAACAATACATTATCTATATCAGCAAAATGAATATGTTGATTGGTTTTATTGTTTGTTTTAAGAGCTGACCAATATTCATATGTTTCAATACCAAAGGTTCATCCAGTGGCTGTTTTCGAAAACCAAGTTGTTGATGAAGGGATTCAAGGTGAATGACCTAAATTGGCGTGTTTGTAAGACGTTTTTGTTTTTTCAATCCTATGAAATTATTGTGTGTGTGTGTATCCATTGGGATTAAAGATGAAATCATAGTATATAAAAGTCAAAAAGCAAAAACTAATATTAATAAAAACAAACAATACTAAAAATAAGTTGTCTCATTTTAAAATTTTTTTATTGTTTAGTATGATAATCTATGAATGTCATGTTTAAATCAACTTATGATCATATTTTATATTTTAGTTATTTAAAATATACTTTTAATGGTCATTTATTAATAAAGGAAAACTTTTATGAGTTTACTATTTAAGTTTACATTTTTATTATGAGTTTATTTAAATTCACGAGTTTGACAACCTTAACTTAAGTATTTATTTTACTAATATGAAATCAACACAATTCACTTTTTCCAAATCAGCACATAATTTAAAATGTCATTATAAAGATTAGATTTATATCAAAAATGAATTTATTTTCTACTTCATTTTTAAAAAAATAATAAAATGGATACAATTAATATATAAGATTTTCAACTTACAAATTGCATGATTATCCAACTTTGGTCGATTTTTTTTTTGTCAATTATTTTCACAATAAATTTACTAATTACTAATTTTTAAATTATTATTATTAATTTGAATTATACAAAACATCCTTGAATTTTGAATTATGTATAAATAATCATCTTAGTATTTAAAACCTAATGATAAAACCCCCTAAATTTATAGATTTGTGCAGTGAGGATAACTCCCCACCTACACTAAAACTTCAAGTTATATACAAATAATCCCGTCAAATTTTATGTTAGTTACATATAAGTAATGAACAAAACTAATCGTAGGGAAATTATATGCATAAACGTAAGAATTTAGGAGGGTGCATTGTAAAATTATAAATTATTATTTAATACAAAAAATTATAAATTATCATAATGCATACTTACTCCAAATTTAAGTTACATAAGTAAAATCCTTTTGAAGTTATTCTTTTAACAAAACTTGATTTTTTATAAATTTCAAGTTAAAAAGTTTCTTTTGTAACATTAAGAGGAGTCGAATTCTTAACCTATACTCACATCCCACCCCATCCTTGCCTCTTTAAGTTAATAAGTTCTAAAATATAAAGTAACAAACTTTTTTAAAAGTAGTAGGAGTTGGGTCTAATGAAATGGATTAAAAAACACTAAAACTCAAATTTTTGAAAGAGACAACATATGTGAGGAGTGTTGTGATTGTGATGATTATTTTGAATTTTTAAGAAAAATATATCTTAATAATTTTTAAGTATTAATAAAATTCAATAATTACAGTTGAAATTTGAAACACTCACTGAGTGAGTAGATTTAGGTTACTCACAGGATTCACATCCAATTTATCTTCTAGATTGAGGCAAAAAGCCAAGAGTAAAAAATTGTAACTAATCATGAAATTAAACTTTTTACATTCATCATGTTACTTCCAGGCTGGTAAGTACAGAAGCTTGAGTTGATTAGAGCTTCTTTTTTTTCTGTAGGCATTGTCTCTGGGTATTGGGAAATGCAGAAACTCTAAAACATGGTGAAGATGGCAAGAACTTGTCTTGAGCCATTAAGGATGCTTTACTTGAGCTTGAACTAATTGATGAATCAAAGTCACCATTTAAGTCACTCAGTATAAAGGACAAGACTGAGAAGTCAAAAATAGATGCCTCAAGATCTAAGTAATTCACATTGATCGATAGCTTTTCCCTGAATTCACAAACACAAATGGTCAATACATTATCTTCATCAGTAAAATGAATATGTTGATTGGCGTTATTGTTTGTTTTAAGAGATTACCAATGTTTATATGTTTCAATGCCAGATATTTCATCTAGTGGCAGTTTCTGGAAACCAAAGTGTTGATGAAGAAGGGATTCAAGGTTAATGACCTTAGTTGTCATGTTTGTAATATGTTTGTTTTTTCAATCCCATGAAATTATTGTGTACATATATCGATTGGGATTCAATATGAAATTATTGTTCGGATTAAAATTATTATTGTGTTGTATATATCTATTGAAATTATTGTTTTTTCAAGTCAATAAATTTTTTTTTAAAAAAGGAGAAAATATCACTCCGAGACACAAGTTATTATATTTTAATTGTTTTGTTTTTAACTCGATAGATTTTTTTATTGTCCTTTATCCTTTTTATTTAATCCATTTGTAAGCTTAATCATTCTAGATTGAAAAATGCCAACAAGGCTTATGAACTAACTCAAACATAAGTTTATCATTTGTAAGGTTATTATTACTACTAAGTTGAATTATACAAAACTTTATTGAATTTTGAATCATGTATAAATAACTGTTTTAGAATTTAAAACCTAATGATGAAACCTCCTAAATTTATATATTTGTGTGGTGAAGATAACTCTCCACCTTTAATTATCAATTATACATTTTCTTAAATTTTATTTTTGTGTGTGTAATAATACTCTAAAACTTTAAGTTATATGCAAATATCCCCTCAAACTTTAAGTTGTTTACATATAAGTAATGAACAAAACTAATAGTAGGGAAATTATATGCATAAATATAAGAAGGCTAAATTACACACAACGACCATAAACTTTGAACCATGTATACATAACTTTCTTAACATTTAAAACTAATAATAAACTTCCTTAAGCTTATAAGTTTATGCAAAAAACCCCTAGCTATTAATTAAGTAACCCCTTAAACTTTATTTTTATATGCATTTAAGCACCTAAAGTTTGATTGATATACAGATAACCTGAATAAACTTTAAGTTATGTATAGATAATTAATATATAAAATTAATCATATACAATTTTTTGTAAAAATATAAGAGTGGAGGGGAGTTAATTGTAAAGTTTCAAATGTTAAGAAGGTTATGTGTGCATGGTTCAAAGTTCAAGGGAGTAATGTATAATTTGGCCACGTAAGAATTTAGGAGGGTGCATTGTAAAATTATAATTATTATTTAATACCAAACAATTATAAATTATCAAAGTGTATAATTACTCCAAATTTAAGTTACATATGTAAAATCCTTTTCAAGTTTTTTTTTTTGTTGAAAACTTGATTTTTTATAAATTTCAAGTTAACAATTTTCTTTTGTAACTTCAAGAGGGATTAAATTCTTAACCTATACTCATATTCCACCCCATCCTTGCCTCTTTAAGTTAATAATGTTAAAAGTTAAAGTAAAAAAAAATTAAAACTAATAGGAGTTGAGTTTAGTAGAACGGGCTAGTTTCTCATAACTTGACAAATTAAAATTTGAATTCTCAATGGGAGAAGTGTTTACATCTAGTGTTTGACTGTGCCTTAAATGAGAATGCTTCTTATTCATAAGAGGACACCTATGAGAAATTAAAAAAAATACTTTTAAAAAAATCTACAGCCTAAAATCAATTTAATAAGAGATTATTCAAATTGTTCTTAATTTTAAAAATTTATAAATCAACTAAAGATTTGTAGTTAACGTTTACAAAAAAAAAAGATTTGTATTTAATAGATTTTCCTAATCTAAAATCATACAAATTAGATATTTCTAATATACATGTATACATATTTCTTATTTCGGGAGGGCAACACTCTTTTATGTAGAAAAGTTTTTGATGAGTTAGGTTTCAAGAGTTTAATAGGATTGGGATGTGCGTTGACGTAAAGTTTGAATATGGGCTGGCCCAAAAAACATGTTTTAAAGGCCAAGTTGAATTAAAAAAAAAATTAACCAAGATAAAAATAGACCTTTTATTTCCTGGACTAGATAACTTATGAATTAAATAGGCTAATCTTTAATGGGTTATGGTTAACCCACTTAACCCATGTTATTTATAAAAAATTT